CATAGCTGCAATAATCTTAATTCTACCTATATAGCAAAAATATTTTTGAAAGTTAAGACATTTTAAAATTACTCCTATTTGTCGTTCTATGAAGATAATAATTTACATGCCCAGAAATCTTTTTCTAATTTTGTTTCCTATCTATGTAGGAATGTGGCTATCTAGAAGTTGGGTATTAGAATAAGTAAACTTCTGTCTTGTTGAGTTTTTTGTTTTCTTGTTTATTGTCTACCATCGCAAGTCCCAGGAGAACAGGGGACCATGTCTTTCTTGTTCCTCACTGTATCTATAGCACCTGACAATTGTAGGCCCTCAAATATTTGTTGAGTGAATGAATGAAAGATAGATATTAGTTTTGGGAAACAGGTGTTAGGGAAGTAGGAGGCTCATACAATATGCTGGAATAATTATTTCTTTGGAAAGCACATTGTAGGTGCAGGTTTTAGAAATACTGGTTTTAATAATTTAGGCAGAAATGTTTGTATTTTTAACATTTCAGGAAAGGTAATTTTGTATACATTCGTATATTGCATTTCAGAGTGCTGTGTGTAGCAATGCCAGCAGATATGAACTGCTCAGGACTGTACAAGACACGAAGCAACTGTTAAATGTTAGCTTTATTATCAGCATTGTTATCAGTTGTTATTAGTTGTCATTATCATCATCACAGGATTAGGATACCCCCCATAGTACATTTGATGTACAAATACTCTTGCTGAGTGTGGTGGTGCACACCTGTAGTCCCAGCTGTTTGGGAGGGTAAGGGTGAAGGATTGCTTGCGTCCAGGAGTTCGAGGCTGCCATGAGCTATGAGCCAGTGTACAAGGCTGAGCAACAGAGTGAAACCTCATTTCTTAAAAAAAAAAAATATACATACACACACACACGCACACTCATTTGTTATGTGGATAATAGATATTTATAAAAGTTTATAAACTCTAGACTGTAACAAAAACTGAATATAGTTTTTAAATTCTCACTGGTAACTTTAAAACGCAGTATAGAACATTTTCTCTATCAGTGGCCACTGATTAGGTTTCAGGAAGCTTCCCCAACAAGGTAGGTTGAACCATTTGGAATGTTTGTCAGAATTATTGATATTGGAAATCTCATGTAGTTCAACCTAGTAGAAAACAGCTTTTAGCTTTTTAATACTTTTTTGGGGAGTGGTGGTTGTTTGTGTTTTTCTTCCTAGGAGAAAGGAGAAACAAAAGGTTTATGAAAGTAATAGCAGGGTATACTTTAATATTTAAAATCAATAACTTTTTTTTAAATGAAAGGAAAGAGAAAGAGGGATAAGATGTGAATTTGAGAGGGAAAAGAGACACAGGTTTTACAAGGTTCTTCAAAATTCATCTCTAGAATCACCAACCTTGTTACACCTCTAGCAGTCTGCACCTTCTAATACAGCTATATGCTGGCTATATGGGGCTACTGAGCACTGGAAATGTGGCTGGTACAAATCGAGATGAACTATGAAAATATAATACATGCCATATTCTGAAGATTTAATACAAAAAATGTAAAATATTTCATTAATCATTTTTGATTACAAGTTGGAATAATAATATCTTGAAAATAATTAAAATATTAAAGTTGATTTTCCTTGTTGCTTTTTTAATACTAATAGAACATTTCTACTGGAGGTTGTTGTTTGATTTGCTGAGTAGTCATTCTTTTTAGCTCACACGTTGCGTCTTCCTTCCCAGATTGAGTTTGGAGCTGGTTGGAGCTAAGGGCACTGAGTTACTTTCTTCACGCCCTGTTTTGAGTAATGTGCCCATGGGAAAGAGACTGGTGTATCCCATTAACCATTCTAATGGAGTGTTTATTTCTTATGTTAAGCTAAAATCAGACTTGCAAGAATTGAGCCCTCTTTTAATGTGGGTTGTTTGGTTCTGAAAGGTGTTCACAACTTGCCTGAATGACATGGGTATTCTGTATATATGTATAATACATAACTTACTTTCTCCATTTCTTTGTAATTGTTTCCAGCCATATCTTTTCTAGACACATTATATTAACTTAATTTCTGTTTTTAAAACGTGATATAATATGAGATCAGTATATCAAGTTTATGTTTTTGTAATGACTAAATATCATAAGTAATATCATTAGCAATTATGAATGACTAATGAATTAGCAATTAAATACTAATTCTCTGGTTTGTCCATTCTCATGATGTGAGTGCATGCTTCAGTGACATCCGTTTCCTCCCTTGTTTCTGCAGATCTAGGTTCTTTTGTATCCCTGGGCCTTTGGCTTAGCATATAATATTTGCAGGGAATATATCCCCAACCCCTTGACTTTTTGCTCTTATATAATAGTAATTATTACAGATCTTCATCATAGCCTTTATAACATCATAATTATTGGCTTGTATTTCTGTTTTTCTAACTAGACCGAGTTCCTTTGAAGGCATTTATGTCTGGCACACAGTTCTTATTAAATGTCTGTTGGATAAATGAAATGGTTAAGAATTCGTAGAGAGTGGTTTTCTTTGTAAGTTTATTATTCTTTGGGAATGTGTGGCATTGGTATTCTGTAGCCTTTGCTCTAACTGATTTGTCTGCCTCTTGGGTCCGTTCTAACAGGTGTAAATCCGAACTTGAAAGAAGCCAGCAAGCTGCACAGTCTGCAGATGGCTCTCTGAATCCGTGCAGTACACCACAAAACATTTTTACAACTCCGCTAACACCGATGCACTATTATAGCGGTAAAGATTTTTTTCCCCTGGTATAAACAGCTCTTTTATTGAGATTTTTAATTCTGTAAAAGAAATGAATTAATTGAACTTTGAATTAAACTTTGAATTTGATTTTTAAAAGCTTCAACCACTTGCTACGCATCCATTTGCATATCTGTTGAATTCTGTTGAGCCACTGGGTTAAGCCTTTAAGCTTTTCACTTTATCCTTCTCTTGTGTATTTTAGAAGAAATTCAGTTTCAGAATATTCAAAACACGTATGTTTCCATGTATTTTGATATTTGAGTAACTCGATCAACATTTTAATCTATTTCCCTAACCCAGATGTTCTTTCTACTTGGTATACTAAGATATTTCTAGCCTCTCTGTAATCATTGTTGACCTGTGAATTCCTTCATGAAATCAGTGATTGAAATAAAACTGTATTTCATTGTTTGTTTTTAGGTTCCAAGTATGAAGATCTAAAAGAAAAATATAATAAGGAAGTTGAAGAACGAAAAAGATTAGAGGCAGAGGTTAAAGCCTTGCAGGCTAAAGTAAGTTAATTATGGGCCCTGTGATAGAGCATGCAGTCATAGAAGTGCTTTGCTGTAGGATAGAACAAGGTTAGAGAAAAATCTGTTTTACATAGAGCTGATATGTTTTTCTTATACTGAGAAAAGGTTCCTAGCTCATTAGGGGTGATTATTTTTTAGTTTTAAAAATAGGTAGGAGTGAGTAAAATAGAGTGGGGAGGTTAGACATCCCCAAATATTAAATGTTCACGGAATTTGACCGAAACTGTAGCCATTTAATTATTTCTCTGTTAAGATCTAGTGATACGGAGCGTGTTTGGAGAGGGTAGGACCAGAGAATTATCCCTGAGGCTCACTGGTTGGCTTTGTCACCTGGAGGCAATTGTTTCCTATACAGTCTTTTTGATGGAATGTGGTGATTACTATCAGGGACTTGGGATTAGAGGATTGGTTTTTGTGAAATGCTTGTTTCAGAGAAGAACATTACCAACATAGTTTTCTCAATGTTTTTATTTATTTTTATTATTATTTTTTTTTGAGACAGAGTCTGGCTCTGTTGCCCTGGCTAGAGTGCCGTGGTGTCAGCCTAGCTGTTTAATGTCAACAAACTAAACAAAATGCAGGTTTCAAAAACCCCTGTGTCTAGTTTAGGGACTGACCCTGAAAATACCTTGGTGTCTGTTGAATTTTACCTCTATCATTTCTGTTCTCATGATGTTATTTGCTAAAAAAAATCCCAGTCTCGCACTTAATGGTGCCTTCCCACTAAACATAAGAACTATTCAGTGAACAATTTAAGACTGAATTTATAAGTAAGTACCTTAAATACTGAGGTTCAAAAAGTACCTATTTCTTAGAACTTTAACAATTTTTACTCCTTTCATGCCTTTAACCCGCGTTTTGAGGTTACCAGGATTCTGATATACATATCTAAGTTAAGTTAAGGCATTGCTTATCTAGGTGAATAAAAATTAAATACTAATTCTCAGGTTTGTTCTAGAAATAGCATGTGCTTTATCACCCAGCTCAGTCCCTGGTACCATTTCTGCCCCTGACATTGATTCTCAGAGTTATTTTATGGAGAATAATGTGAGTCTCTCTCTGTAAATATTAAACCTCTTCCTATGGCAAGAAAAGTGCTCGCCCTAAAAAATTTTATGCTGTATCTACAGCTGAGTCTTGATATTTAGCAGAACGGATATATAGAAAAGAACAGAAAGAACAATGTGAAGCGTTAGATAATTCACAAATGTCTATTATGTAATATAAAACACTCTATATGACCTTTTTTCTGGTGGGGGGAGTGGTACGATGGAACGTGAGATTCTTGACGTAGGCTAATGTTTCATTTTAATTCTCTGTGCAAAGGTACAGGTTGAGGTGACCAAAGGCAGGCAGAGGAAAGCCAGTTTTAGAATTCAAAATGGCAGTGAATACTCACATTTTTAATGGCTGACAAGAGGGATGCAGAGTAAATACTAACACTTAGCCCATTTTAGGTAGGTTGGGCCTCAGATGGTAGTGGCTTACTCCTTCAGTGCTGAGAAATCTGACCATTAGAAAATTTCATCACTGGGTACTGGGACTTATGGTCCCTTAACTTGATGAACATTCTTTCCTGGTATTTAGTACAAGTGTCAACTTCTTGGTATTGTGGCTTTATGTGTTGTCTGAAAATAAATAGCCTTGACGATTGAGATTTCCAAAGGGCTCTAAAGAGTGTCTATTTGTACAGAAAGCGAGCCAGACCATTCCCCAAACCACCATGAATCACCGAGACATCGCTCGACACCAGGCTTCCTCGTCTGTGTTCTCATGGCAACAAGAGAAGACCCCAAGTCGTCTTTCATCCAATTCTCAAAAAACTCCAGCTAGGAGAGATTTCTCGACATCTAACTTTTCTGGGGAACAAGAGGTGACTCCAAGTCGATCAATTTTGCAAAGAGGGAAAAGAGATGCTAATAGCAGTTTGTGTGATAATTCCAGTAGTTCTCATCTTTTGGATCAATTAAAAGCACAGAATCAAGGTAACTTTTGAGCTAAGTTTAAGTTAACTTCTCCTGAGATAATTTCAGAGGTGATTTCCCATATTTTAATCCTAGAACATGCTTATGTGTTTTGTTAGACTGTCCTTTCGATAATGATAAAAGATATCACAGTTTTGGAATGCACTTTTTTTTTTTTTTTTTTTGAGACGAAGTCTCACTTTGTTGCCTGGGCTAGAGTGAGTGCCGTGGCGTCAGCCTGGCTCACAGCAACCTCAAACTCCTGGGCTCAAGCGATCCTCCTGCCTCAGCCTCCCGAGTAGCTGGGACTACAGGCATGTGCCACCATACCCGGCTAGTTTTTTCTATATATATATTTTTAGTTGTCCAGATCATTTCTTTCTATTTTTTAGTAGAGATGGGGTCTCGCTCTTGTTCAGGCTGGTCTCGAACTCCTGACCCTGAGTGATCCACCCGCTTCGGCCTCCCAGAGTGCTAGGATTACAGGCGTGAGCCACCGCGCCCGGCCTGGAATGCACTTTTGTAATATTTGCATTGAGACGCTGGTGTCCTGAAACCTTTAAAAGTAGGTGGAGAGGCTTTGAGTTATCTTTACAGAGACAGGGTGAGTAGGTTGGTTCCAGGTTGCATTCCCCACGCTTCTCATCTAGCTCCTTTGTGGCCCACAGAAGAAGCCTGCGGTCTGACCAGCTTTGGCCAGAGGTTGTGCGTGTGTCTGCATAGTAGCTTTGCTCTTCACGGCCAGGCTGTCCATATGGGAGCAAACCTGTAACCTTGGCTGCTGTGCCCTGCTGCAGCTGACAGCCAAAGGTACCAGGTGGTGTTTTGGAATCTACTCTGTAGAATATGATAATTTCCAGTGCTGTGATATATTGAAAATCATCAACAGTGTTCACTGGTGAGAGCTGTCACACTGCCAATGCCATTGGAATCAGTGTCATGTGTATGTGGGAAAAAAGTGGCAAAAAAAAAAAATCATTGTTAATTTTGGCAGTATAGGAGGTTCACACTGTCTTGATCTTTACTGGAGGTAAAGCTAGCAGCGAATATAGGAAGGTGAACTTTTCACTGCTTAGCACTAATTTGCATGGATATGGGCACAAAACAAATATGAGTTTGCCAGTGTATAAAACCAAGTGGTGATTTTAACAAATTTGGTGTTATATGTGATGTACTTTCTATAGCCTCAATAAGATAGTATTTGTGATTTTAGAAAAGCATTTCTCCCCATGTTTCTTTGTGAGAACATAAGAAAATGTGTTTCTCCTGCTTGCTATAGAGTATTTGAAAATAAATGACAATAGAAACTGACCATTGAAATTAAATCCAATTAAAGTAGCTTTGTGTTTAATGTAAATTGTTTATATTTGTCTTACTAAAGATTTCAGAGTAGAGTAAAATAAATGATAAATTCTGAGCATTTTATGAAACATATACTAATTGAAGGGTGGTTTTTGTTTGTGGTTTAAGAGCTAAGAAGCAAGATGAATGAGTTGGAACTACGTCTACAAGGACAAGAAAAAGAAATGAAAGGCCAAGTGAATAAATTTCAAGACCTCCAACTCCAACTGGAGAAAGCAAAAGTGGAATTAGTTGAAAAAGAGAAAGTTTCGAACAAAAGTAGGGATGAACTAGTGAGAACAGCAGCACAATACGAGCAGGCATCAACCAAGGTATTTGACTTTTCATGAATTATTAAGAAATCTCCATCTTTTCATGCAATTATCTGGAAAGGGTATTTTATACTTAAGTATATGAAATAAATGTTAGTAATGATCTTTGTTAATATATGCTAGCACTGTTCACGGATTTGAACTAGAAAGCTGTTTTAGAGTTGGGCAGATCTGGGCTTAATCCTGGTACCACACTTTCCCACTAAGTGACTTTGGGCAAGTTATTGATCTTTTGTATCTTAAGATGTGGTGGAGAATAAAGAAAATGTATACAGAGCACCTGGCATGGTACGTGGCCCATAGAATAGGCACTTAAAGTAATGGAATTTTAGAAGAGTTTTAGGACATATGATAGGATTTAATTGATCTGCTTTTGGATTCAGTGTATATACGGTTGGCTCTCTGTATCTGTGTTCTGCATCTGTGGATTCAACCAACTGTGGATCAAAAATATTTAGGAAAAAAATGGATGGTTGCATCTGTACTGAACATGTACAGATGTTTTTCTTGTTATTATTCCCTAAACGATGAAGTATAACAACTATTTTCATAGCATTTACATTGTATTAGGAATTATAAGTAATATAAAGATGATTTAAATATCATAAGAGAATGTACGTGGGTTATATGCAAATATTGCACCATTTTATACAAGGTACTCGACCATCTGCAAATTTTAGTATCCTGGGGGTGGGGAGGTTTCTAGAATTAATCCTGCACTGATACTGAGGGATAACTGTATGTCCACCATTGAATCTTCTTAAGGCTCCAACTAAGGCCAAGCTTCGTAGCCAGTCATTTAAGTCTTTAATTTGTTGTTGTTGTTGTTGTTGCTTTGGCCCTAGCCTACCTCTCTATTCTTTTCTTCTCTTTTTTTCTAGCATTCATTCATTCATTCACTGACTCATTTCATTTCACAAATATTTATTGAGTGCCTGCTGTATATCAGGCATTCTAGACTGGGGGTTGGAGCAGTGATAAATATACAAAAATCATTGCCCAATGCAGGTTCGTCTTAATAGGGGGAGGCAGAAAATAACAAAAATAAATAAGTAACATAGCTAGTATGGTATGTGGCAACAAGTATTGTAGAGAAAAACAAATTATCTTCTAAGACCAACCATGAGGATTTGGTGTTTCCCGAACCTAATCTGTCCCCAGGCCCACTGGTTTGCTTACCTTTGCCTTTTTGCCGGAAATACCCCCTTCCCAGGTCAGATTCCTTACATCTTTCTTATCTTTGTGAGCTCCTTTTCTCATCTCTTAAAGTAGTAAGATATTTTTTCATGGCATTCCTCTTATGACCCTTTATATTGTCATTATTTGTGTTCTGGCCCTATGGTTCCTCACTTGACTAATTGTCAAAATCACAGAGAACCTTTC